GCCACCCGCGTCTCCCGCCACACCAAAACCCCAGAGCTCCGCAACAAGGAGAAGGAGATGAAGAGGGCTTTTAGGGAGAGGGTGAATGAATTAAAAGAGGAGATTAGATCGAATAAGGCGGAGAGGAGGAAGAAGAGGGAGGAGAGGGAGAAGAAGAAGAAGGAGAATGTGCTCAAGTCTGGGACGAAGCTGCAGAAGATTACGAACCCGAAGACGCTGAAGAAGATTGCGAAGTCGAAGGAGAGGAAGCTGTTGAAGGTCGTGCCGGATGATGTGGTTAATGGTGGGAGCAAGAAGGGGATGAAGACGAAGAAGTAGGGATGAGCTTCTTGGTGAACAACTGTAAGAGACCTCTGTGTTCCGAAGTTTCAATTTTGTTATCTGGGTTATGGAAGTAAATTTGAATTGAGGTTTTATTTTCTGGTAATTGATGTTTAGGTTATTGTTTTCAGTATAAGAGTTTTCATCTTGTCATGTGATATCAGTGAAATGCTTGATTATTCTATCTATTGTGTCCAGTTCTTATTGATTAAATAAGAAAAGGTTATCAAATATTAAGCGCTTCCTTTTATATTGGGGGTCTGATTTATGTTCTGTGCTCTGCTGAGAGAGTACCCCGATTAATGTTCATCTTTTTGAAATTTTGGTCAAAAGTTTATCATTTTTCCATCTGGGTTGCTGTTGTTTTGGAAATGAACTACGAGATGGATATTAGTTTCTGAAATTGTTTTATTTCGTATATTTTTCATAGTTGATTTAGAGTTGTGAATGATAATTTCGCATGGTTAGATTATTGAAGATTGGTGTTGTCAACTAACAGTTATCCACTTTTATGGGTTGATTTAGATTCTGATGTTATTTTTGTTTTCAATATAATCATCCATGTTCTTTCCTCAGCTGGAAATATGGAAATTGAACTCTTTCTAAATCAATTAATTACATCCTATATATCTAGAATGAACTAATATAATCTTATGATCCTTTTTGCTATAATTATAAGAACGTTACAAAACTTTTTCCACGTAGCTCTTAGTATGGGACTATTATGGATTTTTGCGATGTTTGAGCATGCGTTGCATTTAGTACTTGATGAAGTGATTTTGTGCATCTGGATGAACAATTCTTTTACTCATGTAAATCCATAGACAACTGTTAGGTCTATTCTCACGCTAATATATTTGTTTCTTTTATTACTAACATACTGAATATAGTGGTCTAATTACAATTCCAAGTCACTATAATAGTAGTTAATTATATCTTTGCGTCTGGGTGGGTGGTTTACTTATGGGAGTGGTGCTGTTTGCAAGCATGTACGGGGTAAAATAGTACTAAGTGACTCTTTAGATAGTTACCCAAGGAGTTGGGTTAAACTCATATCTTTTTTTCTGAGAAAAGTCGGATAAAAAGCATAGTCAACAGATAGTTCACACTCTTCGTGGTTAAAAATTATCAAAATTTTCACTAGCTTGTTGAAGAAGAATTTATACTTGTTGGTCCTAGGAAGGCACAATGATTTTATGTGGTTTAGCATGATATCTACATCCACGGAATTCACCCATGTGAAATCAATCCGCTATCTAGAAAATACTGAACTCCTAACATCAAAGCTATTACACTCGATTCTAATCGATCTTACCAATGTGTAAAGCCAATACGACTCTCACTCTCACTCACACTCAAATACATCCCAAGACTAAGAATTCCAGTCAAATGACTTCATCCTAATCCATGAGTTTACAAGTCAAATTGAAAAGAGTTAACATGAAAATACGTCCCTGATAAAGATAACCTAGGATACTCGACACTTCGTTTTGGGTGCCATATCCGTGTTGGACATATGTCGGACATAGATTCATCATGAACAAGCTATGGACATATGTGGTTCAAAACAAAATTTGATTACCTTATTACTTATAACCCTAAACTAGTTTCTTTGGTGTATCGAGTTCAAAATCAATAGCTTTTTGAACCTAAAAACCGAAACCCATTAGTTAAATATTTAAAAAGTACACATTGTACCCACGGTTTTAAATGTTGGCCGACATGTCGGCATGACAGCCAACATGTTAGATCGAAGGCTAGACCGGCATGGATATGGCCATTTCAAGTCAGATGTCGTTTTCAAGGTCATGTCAGACATGTTGGAGGATATTGTGGGTTTATCAGCCAATTTTCAGCCGTGAAAAATCAGCCGATTTTTTTTGGTTGATAATTATTGGGGTTTGGGTTTAGTACTCAGAACCCAAACCCGATTAATTCTTTTTTAGCATTTTGTTCATATAGTAACATGATAGCATATAATACAGATTAGGGCAAAGAAAAAATGTTGCTCTCTTTTCTGTCGCAATCTCCTCTCGTTTGTCTTCGTCTCTACAAATTGAAATTGCGAATTAATAAAAGTGTGATGTAAACAATAAGTTTGAACTATAGCTTGAAATCAATCCAAAGTCTTAACACTTTATGTCAATTTTATGCAATGCACTTTACTTTATGTTAATTTTATGCAAGATACTTCGAAAGCTCTAGTTTGACAATGTGTATTTTGTTTATTTGTTGGCATAATATACCACTGTTTCCCTTCAAGAAATGGAAAACAAACTTGCGTCTTGATGTTGAATACTCAACTCAAGTAGGATAAGCTATAACAACAGAAGTGCATTCCATCTTAGTGACCAAAATTGAGTAGAAATCCATCTGATATGGCAATTCGATATTTAGTACATGTTTCCCGACATATCGCCGATTTTCGCTATCCGATATGAACTCGGCATCCCGACATTTAAAACCTTGATCTGTATCCCCTGCCTGTCAAAACTAAACTTTATTGCTAACACCTAATTCTTAGCTTGTTTTAGTTTGATTCTTAATTGTTATAAATGTAATGAAATGTGCAATGTTATATGTATTTTTAATTCAATATTTGGATCTAAAGTATCTCTCTCTCTCTCTCTCTATATATATATATATATATATATATATATATATATATATATATATTATATGAGAAAACGGGAGGTGAGCTGGCAGCGTAGGAAATTTTTGCGCTGCAAGTGTATGGCATGTGAGCCACACCGATGTGACTAGTAGGGGGCTCACATTCCATACAATTGCAGCGCAGAAAATTTCCTACGCTGTCAGCTCACGCTCGCCGTTTTTGTCATTGTTATATATATATATATATATATATATATATATATATATATATATATATATATATATATATATATAATATATATATATTATATATATATATGTGTGTGTGTGTGTGTGTGTGTGTGTGTGTGTGTGTGTGTGCGCGCGCGCGCGCGCGTGCGAGTGTCCCTGTAACATGCCTTTTATAAATTTATCATATCCCGTGTCCATGTTCGTGTCTGTATTCGCACCCACACCTATATCACTTCAACCTAGGATATAACCAATGGCTGATATTACTTCATACAAATCATACAAAAAATAGGATTCTTGATGCTAAGCTGATTTTGTAGTTATCAGAATCAGCTTTTCTTTTTTTTTGTTTTTTTTTTGTCCAAAACTAGTTGCCTAGTTCTCAAAGCCGGCTTTACAGTCCTCAGAGTTTAAGCTGACTTTAGTTGCTCTTCCAAAATTCAATCTTCTGTGATTTATTCAAAGTCGACTAACCAGTCTTCAAAGCCGGCTTTATAGTGTCTTAAGCCAACTTTCCATAAGTCTGAGCTGACATAAATGTTCACGAACCTGTTTTTGCACTTTTGAATTGTTGTTTTGAGGCATGTCTTAAGCCAACTTTCCATAAGTCTGAGCCGACATAAATGTTCACGAACCTGTTTTTGCACTTTTGAATTGTTGTTTTGAGGCACTACTTTCAAATACGACCTTATATATGTATGAAACTTTGTATTCATGTTTATATTGGTCACAATCAACCATCCACCACATGCATACTTCGACTTGAAACACGTTAAATGCATATGAATGTTTGGTATTAATCAAACCAAGTTGATTGTGTGATAAACATCCAACAATCTCCCTAAACAAAGTCGATCGTGTGATTTGCATCCAACAACCATCTATTATCTACCATGCTAAATAAGTACATATTTAAGTATATGTATCTTGTAATCTCAGAAACTTTAATCAAACTGAATAAACCTTTATTTAATTAGAAAGCCAAGTACAGGATTTACATAATAAACTAACATAGGTACCAAATTATACATGTAAAGAACAATACTGAATCTTTGCACTTCATAAAGTCAAACCAGAACCTCTAAACTTATCGTCTGTAACCTTATCCATCCGCCGAGCCATCTCCAGTGTAAGGTAGTTCGTCCAATCGCCAATTGTCCCACGCCTGAAAAAGCATGCTTCTGTGAAGACCCTCTACCCTTGATTTTGATTTCTTATTCACCTCTAAAGTTTTCTGATACTCAAAGCTACATAACGCTATAATTCTTTCCACAACTCCATGGTTTTTTCCGTCTATAGTAAATGGGTATCCTGTGAACTCTGCTGACCTCTTCAGCTCAGCTTTGGGATCTTTCTTGAAATCTTCATGTTTTGTGAACACCACCTCCTTAGGCCTTTCCAGGCTTGCCTTCCAATAACCGAGAACATTGTCCCAGAAAGGGGCAGAAATAATCCAGACTTTGCTCAAGAGACAACGCTTCTATCCCTTTGTTTAAGTTTTGTTTGCTAACAAAGTGCCACAAGGAAACAAAGTCGTCTTTTGGATTACGACACAGGTACACAATTTTGCATCCAGAACGAGTAATAGAGGCTGTTAGGAGATGAAATGGGATGTGGGTTGAAAAGAGCGTTGGAGAAGGAAGCAAGCAAGTCTAAATCAGGAATTTGATCGTCTATGAATGTGTGGCTTTCTAGAAAGGATGCACATTCTTGCGCACTGACAGTTGTGAAATAGAGTTGGATATCGTAATTTGAGGAGGTGTGAGATAAAACTGTGGCAAAGAGGAGGGATTTGATCCAGGTTGTACCTGATTTAGGAACTGTTGCTAGAATTACATCCTGAGTTTTTAGCCTGGAACAGGTGTTGGGCGCCGAGCAAGTAGGGCATGGGAGCAAACCGACTGTTGTAGAGGTATAGTTTTAGCATGGAACAGCTGGCAGTTTTGAGAGCTCATTTCTGTATTGCTGATATATATCTTTGTCGTTCTCCTCTTGTTTTGTCTTTGGAGACGCGAAACATTTGAAGAGGGGGGAGCAGATGCCGTAGATGTTATGTGAACTAGCGTGTTTGAGATTGTGAACAAAGTTGAGATTATTAAAGTGCACGGAGGATATAAAAGGTTGAGATCTTGGTGTCAGATTTGGTAGCTTGTCATTGTCCTTCTATTTTTAAGTGTCTAAAATTTTTAAGCGAATTTTTAATCAATGGAAGCTGGACATCAGTAATGTAGCATATTAGTATATACCAACTGAAGTTTATGAAGTTTCCTATGGAAAATTCTCCAGTTATGTTTTAATTTTATTGAAATTGGAGAATGGCAATATGAAAGAACTTTGAAGCTGTGTGCTAGTTTTTTGCTTCACTAGAAATATGTGCTATTGTTTTTCCAGATGAGTTTTAGTAGAACTGTGAGATGGTTAGCATATAGTTCTTGAGTTTTTTCCCCCTACATTATTCTTGCCCATCTAACCTTTTTGGATCCCATCCTAGATTATTACTTGCGTATATTCCTGAGTAATTAGTGTAGTATCATATTTGAATTGTTCTGTGTGATTTGGTCAACTGGGCATCATTCTTTATCTAATTTGCTGTGCTTATTTATTCTGCGGTGGATTTATTTACACGTTCTGATCCCGGTTCGAACCGTTCAGTTTTGATTGTTTTTGTACAGTCTATTCTCTGTTTGATATGGTCAGTCACAAAAAATAGTACTTATTAACAAAATTTATCCCTGGTCTCTTTTTCAGTAATTTAGCTTGTTTAGTTGTAGGCAAGATTAATTTATGAACTCCAACTCGTGGAATGGTTCTTGTTATAGCTTGCAAATAACCTTAAGTGTTAATCCTCTTTACATAGTCCATACATGTCTCATGTTAGCCTAATCTTCAGTTCGGCTTCGCCCTAGCCAGGATGACTCAAATAGCATAGACACAACTTTTCCCAGGAAGGGCCAAGTTAAGAAGTCTTCTCATTCACACTCGCCATTTTGAGCCAACCTCTTCCAGTTTGGGTCGATAACTTGCAAGGTTGACTAAAAAAGCGGTATTTATCTGCTCGCTCGTAGAATCAAGGCGAGAGACGTCACTTTTATTGGCCCCTCCCATGAAGACGAGTCGGAAGGCGGTGTGTCCTTGGGCCTCACACCGACAGTTGATTGTCATCAAATTTAATGAATGATCAAAATCATCATTTGTTCAGCCCGGAAAGTCTTTATGACTCATCAGACCTTACCAGCGCCACGCAATTATGTCACCCTCACATTAAACACTTGAGTGACTCACCCCCTTTGCAATCGACACCTGTAAAGCAGAAGACGACTGAGTCGCCAGCTTGACTCGGCCGAAGTTACCTATCTACCCCCCGGAACTGCTATAAAAAGAAATTGATGTCTGCTGCCTAGGGTAAGCAATCTTCTTGCTAAAAACTAAAGACTTCAACTCTTTCTTCTCCACTCAAGATCAGCCAGTCATCTGAAGGAGATTAAGGACCCTAATGCCCTTAATAATCCACATATAAATCTTTGTTTGATAACTGACATCAATAGTTTGGTGCCCATCGTGGGACATTCTTTCTTCTTTGCATAGATGACTGGTTCTGATCACTCTGGCCGATCTTCTAACCCTTTCACTGATGACCGACACTTGTGCTATGTCAGTCAAGCCCAATTAGAGGATTTGACTCGGAGAATTTCTCAATCTCTCTAACAGCCGTTTGCTTCCTTCACGAACGAGCTCCTCAGTCGGATCCCCCCTCAACAGCCCTCTCCATTGTTCGCTTCTCCTCCCCTTTCTACTAGTCAAATCGAGCAGCGACCGCATGAAGACTACGTTAAGCACACCTCTCCTCCGCCTTGTTAATAGGCCCGCTTCGTTATTCTGTCTCGACAGCCCCAGCCGTACGTAGAGGCAACAGGGGAGAGCCCTAGCTTCGGCCATGATAGCCATGAGTGGACTGTGTGGACGGCTTCACGCGACCCTAGATACCCCTATACTGCTTTGGTTCCTTCTGCTACCAATCTAGTGTCTAGTTATAACCGAACGTTCAACACTATTGCTTCGGTTCCTTCCGCTACCAATCTAGTGTCTAGTTATAACCGAACGTTCAACACTATCGCCGAAATCATCAGAGGGAACACTTCGCTCGTCGACTGGATAATGAATGCCCACTGTGCTAAATTCAAGATGCCTCATATTGAGAAGTATAAAGGCGAGGAAGATTCAACAGAACATGCACAGAATTTCTATAACTTGATGAACATGCAACATGTGCCAGACCGATCATTTGCAGAACTTTCTCGATCACCCTGATGGGGAGTGCTAAGATGTGGTGGAACTCTTTTTTTTAAGATGTGGTGGAACTCATTAGACAAGAAGTGCGTTAACAGCTTTGAGCAGCTTAGCCAAAAATTTATACATCACTTTTTGGTTGATTCCAAGTAGAAGAAGCCCTTCCACATCTTGCTCCTGATGAGACAGGATCCGGGGGAAAGCCACAGAGACTACTTCAACAGATTCCAAGAAAAAAAGGCTGGAAGTCGACGACCCTCAGCATAGTTGCTATGACCGCAATTTCGGCAGGCCTGCAGAACAAGTTAACTGACTCACTCATTGTAGACCGAGTTACCAACTATGAGCAGTTGATGGTTAGAGCCCGAGGATTCATGGATGCGAAAGAAGCCTGAGCCAATGAGAGGCCAGCTAGAGAAGCAAAAGCAGCAGCAGTAACGACGATAGCACCTACTGTGGGGACCGAGTCCTCTCCTAAAGAGAAGACGGAGAAGAATACCCCTAGAACCGACTCTAAGCAAAGCAAGGCCGATGGGATAGACTAGAGGAGAGAAGACACCAAGAAGCCAGACCTCACTGTGAAATTACCCTAGAGGAAGGGTGAATAGGGTATGTGCTAATCTAATCCGATATTACTGCTAAATTAAAACTTATTAACAATATCCTAGCAGTTATGATATACAACAAGATATATGAGCAATGATGTGCAATTTAAACTAAGAGCGATATAAACATGAGACAATGGCGATATAGAATGTAATAAACAATGAGCACAAATAATACACTAATGTCAAACACAACCAAATGATCACAGAGTTCGGTCACCCTTGACCTACGTCTCCGCTCCTCACCCTCGAGGAGAATCTCCACTATCACAACTGATTTTCAACATTCACCGAAAACGTTTACAACTCATATAATCAGTTTTCTAACTCACCGAAAACTTTCACAACTTACACAATTGTAATCACACAATACACCCTATAAGTATTGGCCTAGCTCGTGTCAACTTCCTCAAGTGCTTGGATTTACCACCTCTCCCTAGGCTTTACTACCAATGCCACTCCTCTTAGAATTGACCTCGTCTCTCACCAACCACTCCACTCGGTGTCATTGTATATTACAATGTGATCTCACAAATTAAGCACAAGTAAAATAGTTTGTTCTCCAACAAAGATGAGAACTAAGTTTAAGCTCACTTTATCATACCCACAACCCAAATTTTACAATATGTGAAAATACTCAAGCTCAATGGTTGTGTGTAAAACAATAAATAAAATAAAACTAAAATTAAATCAATCTAGCACAAGTATATATATATATTATTATATATATACTACTATATAAATCAAAATATGAATATGCCTAGAACGATAAGTTTATAAAAACTTCGTTCTTAAGCGGAAGATGGGGGGGGCGGTCGGGCGCGGGGAGGGTTATTCATTGGGGTAAAGGTAAATTTGCTCTCCAATGTGGTCAATTTTACTCCAATGCGGATAGTCTTGAGCTAGATAAGAGTGTGGGACGGAAAATGGTGTAATGGACATTTGAGAATGGGTAATAGGATAATCTAACCATATTAAATTCTATTTGATTTGGCCCCATATCAGCATAAGCCAAGCTGAATCCTGAATAAATCACAAACAGCGGGCCAAACACATCGCAATCAAAACCACCAAATAACCAAGAAGAATCAAGAACCGGATCGAACAACCTCAATCTTGAACCCCTCTTCCCCCTATCTTCCGCGGCCTCCCGCATCCAAAACCCCACCAGCGATCTTCCTTCCCCGTCGCCCCGAAAAACCTCCCACCGCAACCTCCACCTGCGCGTGTTTAACCCCGGAAAATATCGAAAATAAATCCGCCACGCTCTCTTACGAATTAAACCAAGCAATATTTCCCAAAAGATTGATTCTGCAGCGCACACCTGGCACACGCTCTCGAGCAATCCTCACGTGTTTAACCCGTCTTGACTCCTTATCCTGAGTCTCGCCAGGCTCTCACTCTATCTCCCGCCATATCAAACCTGCTACCTCCTAAGCCCCTGTCTCCAACCCTACGCTCCCCGCCTCCTTTTCTCGTCTCAGCTACAGCCCCGAGCCTCTCCCCACCCCTCCGTGACAGCGGTCGTCCCCCTTTGCTAGCTCTCATGCACGAAAGACCCTCCAGCGCCGCCACTTCTCCGCTCCTGCTCTCACCCTTCTCCCAGCTTATGGGCTCGGGCCGAACGCGGCTGGAGCTAGGCGGAGACTCAGGCGGGGCTCGACGAAGGTGGCAGACCCCTCAGCGGCGGCTCGACGAAGGCGGAGACGAAGGCGCCGACAGAGAGGATGAGCGAGGCCGGTGCGGGGCTCGCCGTGGCGGAGGGCGGCGGAGGAGGAGAAGAGGTCGGGGCGCCGTGGACGGTGATAGGCGGAGGGAGGAGGAGAGGCTGGTGACGACGTGGAAGAAGAGGGCAAATATTACCCCCATTTGTTCCAGCTCTCTTTTTTGGGTAAATTTTGAGGGTGGGGATGTGAAGTGTTTATATAGTTGGGGTAATTTTAGGGGAAGTGGGGTATTTGTCCCCAAATTATCCCAACAAACCAATAACACTATAAAGTTTACCCCAGTTCTAATTACACCAATGAA